AAAAGCGAAATCTTCCAAAATGGATTTGGACGTAAGGGGGCTTACATATTATAGTATTGTAGAGTATCACATGGTCGGCCCCGCACGTATATTGCCTTTGCTTACTTGTTTAAAATACAAATTTCAAATGTAATTTTCTTAAGATAACGATTATAACTAAACATATGGTTTATTTCGAGATTTATAGTAAAATTTTGTGTAGAATATATCTTTGTTTGACACTTTCTGCCCAAAACCGGCATTTTATGTTACTTTTATGCATCAACTCGATAAAAGAACAATGAGAAAATTATAGAAAAATTAGGAAATTGATACAAATATTTTCTTGATATATAATTAAAATAGAGTTTTATTTTCTTTTGTGACTTATGATGAAATATTTATTAAAAATAGTTTGTCTTCTTTTGGCATAAATTCACATGAAGTATTTTTATACCCTCCATACTATGGTAGACTCTTTGGTGACTTATGATGAAATTTTATTAAAAAAGATTTTATCTTATTTTCACATGAAGTGTTTTTATACCCTCCACCGTAGTATGGAGGGTATATTAATAGGTCCACGTCTTCGTATAACCCCATACAACGGTATCTCTCTATATTCAGTGTTTTGATGATTTAAGGTTCATTTTTCAAACGGAATTATGTCAAACTTGGAGTTCGTAATAAGCACCACCCTCGCTGGCAGATAATTGGGAAGTGAAGGTCCACGTTTTTGTATAGCCCTGTATTGCTGAAAGTGAGAATTACTATATATACAGGGTGAAATGAAAAAAAAAGTTATTCGTGATGGAATTCAAACGTGATAGTGTGATTTCTTTATATTTGGCTGGAAATCCAAAGTTGGCTATCGTTAAAGCACTCCAGAATTTAAATGTGAATAAATCTTTTGTGTCTCGTACCATCTCGTATTGTACATTTCATACGTTTCTAATCTGAGTCAAAATCATCTAGAAGGTTTTCCGGGGAAATTTTAAATAAAAATATCATCTATTTTGGTTTATAAATGGAGATAAGGTACATTTTCCCAATTCACTTCAAACATGATTCTTTCACAGTGCAGCATTTCCCTGATGCATTTCTTATGCATATGACCTCGGTTTTAGATGGATTGATTTTAATGCCCCAGCTATCATAAAAACTAGTAACCTTATCTAAGTGATGCTTAACTTTGCACATTGCCATAAGTATTGATTCGTCATGAGCATATAGTAGGGCAAAAGAGCTAAAGAGTTGCTTCGCATGGCCAAAAGTGGTGAACTGCCGAATTTGGTTTTCTCCGATGAGAAAACATTCGTTGTCCAGCATTTTGTAAGCAAAAAAAATGATCGTGTTTACTTGCCAAAGAGGTCAGCCGATAATGTGCATGGTGATGGTGTGGGTCGCTCTCCGCTCGTATTAATCGACCTTGGCATCAGAATAAGTGCCGAATATTATCGCGAAAATATTCTGGAGAGGGTATTAAAGCCTTGGGCACGCAAACATTTTGGCCGCAGACCTTTGACATTCCAACAGGCACTCAGCACTCGCCACCCACGAATGGTTACAAAATGAGGTTCTTAGCTTCATTTCCAGTACACAATGGCCCCCAAATCTCCAGATACCAATCCGTTGGACTATTGTGTGTGGAGTATTTTGGAAAGCAAGGTTGGCACTAAAAATACCAAAGTGTCGATCACCTCAAGGAAGCGCTTCGCCGTGTGACGGTTTCATTGTCCGTTTGAAAGGTGGCCAATTCGAACAAATCTGAACTTCTAAAATTTTCCAAAATTCTAAAATTTGATGCTATTTCCGACATTTTTTGCTTTCATTCAATATAATTTAAAAAATGTAAAAATTATGGCGTTTGACTTTGTTGCAGATTTTTATCTACACCATATCTCTCATGGATGTGCGACAAATCCCCATAAAATATCTTTGGATATTAAATTTATTACCTGCCTTTTGAAAGTAACCCTAGTCACTGTACTCTATAGGTCTTTACATAAACTCTATGGCTTAATTTTAATATTAACATCAAGTATATATTAAATTGTTACATCAACCAAAGATATTTATCTGATATCCTTAAATTACAAAAGTGCAACTTCACACACGTAACGTTTAACTTTAAAAATAATAATGATAGAACTAAAGAACAGAATAGTTGCAATATCTTCTCTCCTATTCACATGAGTGTTGAATAAAAAAAAGGTCAGAATGGGGTCAATTGCTTCAACGATGTTTAAGAATAAAAGAAAATAGAGGAAAAGGAGAAGCTAAAGCAAACGAATATGGTTAAAAATATAACACATGTACATTAGGGAATGTTTTATTTAAAAGAAAACAAGGTGAACTCGTTGTATTATGGTATTATCAACTTATTTGAGTTAACTTATTTAAAATAAAATAAAGAATTTTCCGGAGAACTAAACAAAATCTCATGTTCATGTGGGCGTATAAGTAACGACAATACCAATACGCCACCAATGCACAGTGGTCGAGGTCGTATGGGAACAGCGGCCAAAAATACTTTCAGTGCAGATATCAATATGAATCTTTGGTTATGGTACCTTGATGGGATAAATATAAAAAATGTGACAGAATGGGTATGGTCGATGCATGTTTTGACATGGTCCCCATATAACGTACCTCCCGAATAAGGGTTATTTGCCCAATTTTTGTCACATTTCTACACCAGGGAAATATATCAAATATAGCTCTCATATATATCTATCCGATTTCAAGTTAATTGTGCACCAAATGGATAATACAAGCCCGAATTGAAAAGGCTCAAATGCCTCGACAAATTTAATATAAATCAATTCAGAGGAGGATATTCCTCCCATATATTAGTTCCTTTGGACTTTTAATTATTACTATAATCATTGTTGGTATGATTTAATTCTCAAAAATTCCCCATTAAAACCTTTATTTGTTATGTGACGCTCTACTAAATATGCAAAGTGGTGTAGGGTATCATGAAGTCGGCCCCGCTCGACTTTAAGACTTTATTTACTGGTTATTGTTTGGTAAGGCTCGCTGTCCCATTATAAAAGGGTCAGAACTCAGAAGAAGACGGTTAATAAGATCTGTGTTTTTTGAAACACGAGAATTTTTTCGGGCATGATTTAGTCGAAACTTGGAAGATAGTGCCATGGATATAAATTTGTTAACTTTTTCGACATAAATATTATACCCAGAGGACAATGCCTGCAACATTATTGAACACCCCTCAATTACATACTTATCAATCCCTAACAACAAAAACATATTCTATGTCACTAGCACCATAGAACTGACAAAATTGCAGCGAAGTCACTTCAGTATATTGGGCATAACATACAAATCTGACAAAATCTGAAAGTTAAATTAGCACTTTTAGAATCTTAGGTCCATTACTAATGGCGTGAAAAAAATCACATTGGAGGATTCAGGGGGGAAAACAATTAAAACTTTAACTGAAATCCAATTTTATTTTCAAAATTAATCTTAAAGGCAACTCAGAAGACTCACATCTTTTATATTATACACATATACTAAACACACAAATTACTGCACTAAAAATAAGTTAATACCTTGCTTTTTAATAATAATGCCAAGATTTGTAATTTTAAAATGTATTTAATTTTGTAATACAGTTCTATTTTTACTCCACTTTTTCTCTGATCACACTGAAAAAAACAACTAACTACATTTTCTCTTTTTTGATGCTATTTCCGAAGTGTCCCGTTAGAATGAAGCCAAGATTATTATGTTTTCTAAAAAGCTTAACCCCTTAAGAGTTCATTTGTACACATTTGACAATAAATATCTGATTTTCATTTTTTGAATTTTGGCCAATGGCAGCGACCACTGTGCAATGTAAATGATTAAAAAATGATTTTGGAAATAGAATAAAGTGTGTACAATTATTTCAAAAATATTTGCTGTTGGATTTTGCACCTAATAAACATTCCCCTTGTTTTAAGATAACTGTAGTTAAACTGAAGTTTATATAGGGTTTACGTTGTTTTTGTTGTTTAAAAAACAACTAGCAAAGGAGGCCAGGGCTGAGGCAAACATAGCCAGGGGATATTAAATATATTAGCTATGGAACGGGGCAACGTTATTGCAATCGTGTAGTTTTTACGCTAAAAAATTAAAAATAAGAAGGTTATGTTAGAACAAGCCAAACTCGTTAGAAGATTTCTATATTTAGAAAATTCTTAAAAGGTTGTCTATCCATAGAAGCACCATAAAAATTCTCCTATCCACAGAAGGCCTTTAGAGGACCTTCTATCTCTTTTTCTTCTATCCATAAAAGTCCTTTAGTTGGACTTCAGTCCATAGAAGATCTTATGGAGGTGTTCTATCCATGGAACACCTTTAGGTGGTCTTCTTTCTACAAGGTATTTTTTGATAACCTTCTGCTCATAGAAAACTCTTTTAAGGGTCAAAAACTATCAGAAGATTTCCTATCCATGGAAGAATATTAGAATACACGTAGCAGATATTTTATCCATAGAATATCCACAGCAGATCTTCTATACATAGAACCCCCCGTATGAGTTCTTCTATCCATAGAAGGCCTTAAGGGGGTTTTCTAGAAGAAGTTTTTTTTCTACAAATAAAAAAAAATTATTCTCAATGTTCCTATTTTCTTAGAAGACCTGTAAAATTGCTTTTCACAGTTTTTCTAACCTTAAGACATGTAAAAGGTCTTTATGTTCCGTAAACACATTGAACTCGAGTAATTTAATTGAAATAAATTAATATATATGTAAAAGAGACCAGTACGGACAAGAACAAAAGAGCATGACGAGGATGCTTTGAACTGCCATCCTGTAAAATTTGTTGTTTTGACTTTGGATATGTTTACTATCAAATCCCATCATCAATAGAGGTTTAAACGAAAATTTCAATCACGGTACTTTGTATATTTGTAATTTATAATTGAGATTGAAAATATTAAAATAATATCATCCACAAAACTTGTTGTATTTATTAATAACATTTCTCTATTTGCCTTATCTTTTCAGATCTACTCTCTTCACATGACTGACTGTGTAATGTGAAATCCAGAGGAATTATTATGTAAAAATCGACTCAAAACTGAACTTGGCAGCAAAACTGCAAAGAATAAACTAACTCATAAGAAATCCGCAAGACTAGTTGAAACTGAAGAGATTGTAACAATACAGCAAACTTACTCACTCACCTACACACACACACACAAACCAAAGATTTACTTAACGCTAAGACTTCGAAATAGAACAAAAAACAACTCCTTTACAATGTCCAAACATACGGATAATGATCATTTGCGTAATGACATTTACGAAAATCTACCCTGCCAGGCCATGTTCAATGAGTCTGTGCGAAAGATACAACAACAAAAATCGGCTCAGGCCGCCGCGCACAATCCCAATAACATCAATCTGAATAAGGCTTTGTCACAGCAATTACTATTGAACAATATTAGCAATCAGGGTTCACATTTGGTCAATGTTAATTTAGCCAATTCGAATTCGAATTCGGCGCCCAATAACAAGCATCAAAGTTCGGTGGGTCGACATAATTTGGTTGCCGGCACCAGCAGTCCAGGACAAATGCCAAAAGAAATGATTTATGCCACGCCGCTGCGTAAATCAGATCGTTATAAAAGTGGTGATCGTAGTCGTTTAACTTCAGCTGCCGTAGGCAATGCAACGGCTGGAATTCCACGCCCCCTAAATGAAAAAGAGGTGACCAACACAGATGTAAAATTAACCAATATTATTGATTATAAACAACTGAATACGCCACGTGATAGCAACCGGGTAAATACTTCAGCAGCAGCTGCTGCGGTGGCGGCTACTAATCGCAATGGTAACACGGTGGTACCTGTTACAGATCTGGATGATGAACCCGATTCGGGTTGTACTTCAAGTAATATGTATGCAAATCGTGGAGTGCCCTTAAATTGTGGTAATAACGGAGGAGGTAGTTCCACACCCAATCATCAACTGGAAGATCGCCGTATTTTGAATTTCCTCAAGGACACGACCCAACTGCAAAAGAAAATGGAAATTTCCGGAAAAGATTGTCCCAACTCAAGTTTTTCCAATTTGGCCCGCGAGGAACATTTCGCCAATTTGGTGCAACAAAATTTCCCCCTGGAGGTGGCACGTAAAAGTTTTGATCCAGAAAATGAAATGGAAGCTGCCTTAGAGGGGGCTGCAAATGGTGGCGGTGGTGACATAGAAGAAACTTCTGATAATTTAGAAGTTTTTATGCAGAAAAAACTGTCGCCGGACAAGGAGGTGAATGGGTTTGGTGGCGCCCAACGCGAATATGGCCATCAGCACCATCATCATCACCATCAGCATCGTTATGGTTCTAAGGTGTACATAAATCGTGAATGGGTCTTAAAGAAAATAGCCATGTGTTTGGAGCAGAGAACCGCCGGAAAAAAAACCATGCCGGGTCTGCTGGGACCAACCCCATCAAATGGAGCAAAGAATGAAGCCTTTGCTGGCAGCTCTTCTGCACCTGGCTTTATGTCATCGCGGGCCAAGGCAGCTGCCATTTCGGCTTCCACCTATAATGGATGTTTGGTTTTGGGCTCAAACGGTTCAGGCAAGACAAGCATTTGTCAGGCCATAATGAATGGCAATTCCGGTACACGAGGATTGCTGAATCGCAAACTATTGGCCTCGTACCTCATCGAATCACAAAATCCCGAGTGCCATAGCCTATCACTGTTCATACGGAAAATGGTATTACAAATCCTAAGCCATTCGTCACTAATAGCCAAAGATGAAAGCCAGCGTATCATCGATGAAGGCTTCTCGTTTCTGCATGATGAGGTCCAACAGCAAGAATCCAAATTGGATGAGGCCATGAACAATATATCTTTGGACGAAAATGCCGAAGATATTCTGATAGCCGAACTCAAACGTGGCGCCAAAGAATGTGATATTGCCGAATTGGAAAATTTCCATGAACGACGTACTTCCACATCCAAGAAAGCGGAAAACTTACAGTTGATGAGACAAAAATCTGAACCGGTGCCTCCACAACAAATGGGCGGAGAGGATGAAGAGCAAGAAAAAAAATGCTATGGTACCCATCCACCAAAGGGCCAGAAGAAAAAACCAAATAAAGATTATGATGAGAATAAGGATAACGATACGGAAAAGGTTAAGCGGCGGGAAGAATCCGATAGGGATTTACCCTCATCGAGTAAAACTAGTCCCGGACGCAAATCGAAGATTCCAGTGAAATTAACACGACCCAGTAACGTGGCATCCCCGGTCAAACATATTAACAGCAATTTGAGTTTGCCCAGCAACAATAACAACCATGCACCTCAACAGGGTGGGGGAGAAGACATTGCAGCGGTGGGTAATGAGGATTTAAAGCAAGAAATTCAAGCAGCTATACGCGAGGAGCAGGACAGGGATAGTAACAAGGATGAGAAACAAAACAACGAAGACAGGCCTGAGGCTGATAAAGATATGGAGCAATTTCTAAAGGAAAACAAGGATAAAGAGGAAGAAGAAGAAGAAGACGAACGTAAATTACGGGAAGGAAGCGCAGAACTGCGGGATGAAAATGATCTTATCGATTTTGAAACAAAATCCAAAAACAAAACCGATGAGCAGGAAGACGATATGGAGGAGAAACAAACCAGTTGCTTCAATACTCTACCTCCTCCCTTGCCCAAGACTAAAAGTTGCCGAACCATCATTGCCGATGGCTACTATGAAATGCTACTTACCAATCCGGAAATTTTTGAATGCCTAACTGTGGACAATATTGAGAAGAACCCCGATGAGTGTTTCAAGAAGGCCATATTGTTTCCGCTGCTGGAGCTAACTCCACCCAAGACAGCTTTGCTGTTGCTTATCGATTCCATCGATGAGAATTACATTAATGAGGGAAATCTAATTTCTACCCTTAAGGGTGGCCGTGGCGGCGGTACCACCCACAAAAGTCGCAATGTCGCCGAGCTGCTTTCCAATCACATTCACCTCTTCCCAAAATGGCTGTTCCTGGTGTGTACAACGAAGAAACAAACCAAACAGATTACCCGCATGTTCTCTGGTTTCAAGAAGATCACCTTGGATGATTTGCGTAAGTCGCATGTGGTCAAAGATGTCCAGGAGTATATCATCAATCGATTGAACTCAGATTTCAAGGATAGCATTATGTTGACAAAGGAAATCATAGAATCTCTGCATCAGCTCTACATCAAATCCAATGGTTGTATTCTCTATCTGGAAAAAGTTCTGAATGGTATCAAGGAGAATTTCTTCAGTTTTCGTGAAATAAAACTTATACCCTGTACCCTGAATGGCTTGTATTTGTATATATGTCAGAAGTCGTTCAACAAGAAGCAATACATGAAAATAAGGCCAGTGCTGAATGTGCTGCTGGCCTCCTCAGGCTATGTCGACAAATTGTTCCTGTTCAATTGCCTCAGGACCCACAACTATACCATCGACAACGAGGAGTTTGAAAAACGTCTACACCTGATGAAGAACATACTGCAATACGACAACGATCAGAGGCGTTTAAAAATTTTCCATAATTCCTTTTCGGATTGGTTGGTGGATGTGAAATTTGCCACTAAGAAATTCATATGTGATGTCAATGAGGGCCATGTCATGATTTCGCTGTACTACTTGTTGGTGGCCGAGACTCTGTGTGCCAACACGGTGCGGAAATTCATCTACCATCTAATCAAGTCCGGAGAATATCTAACCAATCGTAACATCGACTTGGACATGATTCTAATGCTGCTCGAGTCACGGGTGAATTTAAATGATTGCTTCTACACCAACCACCTAAACTGCTGTTCCATGTGCGAACTGGACTTTAAAAATGACCCGAATTTTCTACCCAAAACCCGTAACATGATTGAAAAGTTTTTGAACACCGAATTGTGTGATGAGTTCTCGCAATTGCTATGCGATTTCTTCAAGCCCAGTTTACCCACAGATGCAAAAATACTGAAACTACTCATTGAGACGGGCATTAATAATGCCGACAATCAAACGTCTTGTGAATCATCGCTAATGTCGCCCGAGCTGTCAGAAAAATCTCAAAATATCGATTTTGAATTGGCCGATTTGTTAATATCCAGTGAGCGTTCGTGCATTATGGAAACCCAGAGGCCATCGAGTCCTTCGGAAAAAAGTGAGCCACATCATGAGAGTCAGGATGACAACGCCTCATCTACGCTACATCAACTTTCCGACTCCAATCGCATAGAACTACACAAAGGCAAGGCTTTGATACACATTCTGGCCAATGATGGCAATCATTTGTTGCTCGAGAGGGCTCTCAATGCCTGCAAGGGACCCATTGATCTGGAAATTGAAGATTACAATGGGCAGACTGCCCTCAACATTGCGGCACGCAATGGCCACTTGGAGGTGGTTAAGCTGCTGTTGAATTTTGCACAACCCTGCAACGATGGCACGGGACGCATGAAACGTGTCGATGTCAACCATGCCGATCGGGATGGTTGGACACCATTACGTTCCGCCTCCTGGGGTGGTCACACTGAAGTTGTCAAATTGCTCATAGCCCACCCGGCTTGTAAAATTGATTTAGCCGACAAGGAAGGGCGTACAGCTCTCCGGGCCGCCGCCTGGAGTGGCCACGAAGATATACTCAAGATACTCATAGAACATGGAGCAGATGTTAATTCTGTAGATCGTCAGGGGCGCACCTCCCTCATAGCTGCCTCCTATATGGGGCATTATGATATTGTGGAAATTCTCTTGGAAAACGGAGCCAATGTCAATCATTTAGATCTGGACGGACGCAGTGCTCTGTGTGTTGCTGCGCTTTGTGGCTCTTCGGGTTATAGCAAAGTTATTTCCACACTATTGGAACATGGTGCCAACACAGATCAATTGGACAATGACGGCATGTCACCTTTGCTGGTTAGCTCGTTTGAAGGCAATGCCGAGGTCTGTGAACTTTTGCTGGAAAATGGTGCTGATCCCGACTTGGCCGATTTTATGGGTCGTACCCCGCTATGGGCCGCCTGTACTGCCGGTCATGCAAATGTTGTCAAACTTCTACTATTCTGGGGCTGTGGCATTGATTGCATGGATTCCGAGGGCCGAACTGTCCTCAGCATAGCTGCTGCTCAGGGAAATATTGAAACGGTACGTCAACTATTGGATCGTGGTTTAGATGAGACCCATCGTGATAATGCCGGCTGGACACCATTACACTACGCGGCCTTCGAGGGTTTCCATGAAGTTTGCCTTCAGCTATTAGAGTCGGGCGCCAAAATTGACGAGTGTGATAATGAGGGTAAGACCGCTTTACACTTGGCGGCCCAGGAAGGACGCACCCAGTGTGTACAGGTACTGCTCGAGTGCCTCTCAACGTTTGTGGATCAAAAAGCCCATGATGGCAAGACCGCTTTTCGTCTAGCCTGCATTGAGGGTCACTTGGAGACGGTGCAATATCTCTTAAAATACAACTGCGATGTCAATTCCAAAGATGCCGATTCACGGACCACGCTATACATATTGGCATTGGAGAATAAATTGGAGATGGTTAAATATTTGTTGGAATTCACTGATGTCGACGTGAATATCTCCGATAGTGAGGGTCGAACTGCTTTGCATGTGGCTGCCTGGCAAGGGCATGCGGAAATGGTGAAAATGCTAATCACTTTGGGTAAGTAGAAGAAAAGGAAGAAGAAAACACAAAAAAATCCTTTTTGGTCGGGACGAACCTATTTTTAACAAGTAAGCAAAGGCTACAGTCGAGCGGGGCCGACCGTTGAATACCCTACAACACTATAATAAACGATACAGTTTATATAGGCAAGATACTCGAAAGAATTCCACAAGATATTGTGACAAATAATAAAAGAAAACCATCAGGTTTCGTTCTCTAATTTTCGAATAATAGCAACCTTAACTAATTTTCTCATTTCCAATTTATTGGTAGATGTTGCACTTAAATGGTCTTCCTAGATCTGGAACCAATATTTCCCAAAGACCTATAATCTCTCAGAAGTGGCAAAAGATTAACATTTATTATTGGTTTTTGACTGAAACGCATCTATATGAAATACAGACATTTGACTATATTCTTCAACGAAATAAGCGCTAATGAAATAGTCAGAAGTGTGTCTTTCCTGTATTTGTGAATTCTCCAAAAAGTCACTGGAATGGACATTTTCGTATTTTGACAAAAGTTGGCAAACTCCTTCACACATTGAATATTTTTGGATGGCCATCCAAAACTGCTTGACTTTTGCAATGTTCGGTAATCCCCATTCAAATGTGCGTGAGGATCGGGCGATAATTACGACCTTCTGACAATTTTGCAGTTTTTTGGTCCATTTCAACCCCTAAATATATGGCGATCATCTCCAAAAAGAGTAGGCTTCTATTCTGACCCTCATCTGATCCCCATGCCAAATTTCGTTAGGATCGGGCCATAAATGCGATCTGTATATGATATCCTGATATCCTAACTACTTAGTTTTGTTAGCTATAGAAATATTACCAAATGTTTAATTCAAAATGAAAATATGCCAAAAATATGACAAAATGGAAAAAATATGAGAAAATTTTACAAAATCAATATTTTCATCTTTAGAGAGATATTTGTATGCATTTTTTAGACGTTTTTCTTTTCCTGCCAAGAGGCCATTCTGAATTAATGAGAACTGTCGAAATCAGTTCAACCGTTCTCGACATATAAGAGATCTTTCAAGCATATCTTCTTTGATAGACATATATATCGCATATATTTGCTATATATTCGATTTTTTGGATCTTAACATCAATGTAAAGATCAGAAGTAACCTTGTCATGGCTTTGTGATTTCGCCGGGATATAAAATATTCGCGGTTTAATGAAAATTTTAAAATTTTTTTTAACAAAAAAATATGGTCTATTTTACCCGCTAAATATTATCCGATGACCACCCAAATTGGTAGGCTTCTTCCCCGCCCTAAACTCTAGCTACATGCGAAATTCCGCGTCGATTGGTCTATAATTGCGACCTGTATAGCTACTGCAAAATCCGACATTTTTTCAGTATTTGGTCCATTTCAACCCCTAAACATTTGGCGATCATCTCCAAAAGAAATAGGGTTCTATTCTGACCCTAGCCCCACCTCCATTCTAAATTTCGTGAAGATCGGGCCATAATTGCGACCTGTAGAGTGATTACAAATTAACATGGACAGACGGACAGACGGACAGACGGACGGACGGACATACATAGCTAGATCGACTCAGCTCGACGAACTAGGAAGATCCATATATACTTTCCTATGTGGGAAATCAATATTTCGTGGTGTTACATAATTTTTGGCCCAATCAAACTTATAATACCCCCAACACATAGTGTTGTAGGGTATAAAAACTATTATGCCTATATAAAATTTAGTGTAGATTGTGCCTCTTTAAACACTTTCTTCCTAAAAAGAAGTTTTACAGTTTAGAAATATTGTCTCGTTTTTACGACCAAATCTTTGGATGAAATCAGTTTCAAGACATTTAGACACGATAACTCTCTAGGAGGGGTACCTGATTGGATCCGAACTGAGTATATCGTATACACATAGAAGAAGTTCGGAAGTGGGCAATATGGACCCGTTTTTCCTTTTTATGAAATAGGATTACTCTATCATTGTCTGGTCATTCTTTCATAATATCATAATTTCAACAAACGTTTCGTGTGTCCTCTATCTTATTACATATAAGAGATGGAGGAAGAGTAGGAAAGTGTTCTCATTATTTTTGTGCTTACAGGTAATGCTGATGTCAATGCCATGGATTTGGAGGCTCGTACACCGCTACATTCCTGTGCCTGGCAGGGCAATCACGATGTCATGAATATCCTTTTATATTTTGGTGCTTTGGCCGATCATGCCTGCAAACAGGGAGCTACAGCCTTGGGTATTTCGGCCCAGGAGGGACATGAGAAATGTGTTGTGGCTTTGCTAAAGTATGGTGCTAATCCCTACAAATCCGACCACTGTGGACGTACACCCATCAAATTGGCCGCTAAATCAAATCGCACAAATATTCTCAAAATCTTTGACAACTATACCAAAAGTGAGTATTTGCTTAATTCTCTTATTCATATTTTGAATAAGAATAATGCTTTTTGGGGGGGAATTTTCTTGCAGATGAAGCGAATCAAGCCATGGATGCTGCTGCTAAATTTCATCATGGCAACATGTTACGTTCACCTGATCAACAAGCACCCTCAATTCCGGCTCATGCCAATTTGGGTATGAACATTTTACCCTCAACCTCGCCCTATCCACCACATGCCTCAGCCTCATCAGTTTGTTCGGCAGCCACCACGGCTACCGTTAATAATAATATGGCAGCACCCAGTATTCTAAATGCCTCCAGCTCAACACACAGTTCGAATAATTTCTATCAGAATACAATGCAATCGGATACCAGTAGCTTGCACAAACGTAAAAGTGTTATATCTAGTCAATCAACCGGTAGCAGTAATGATGTAAGTACATATTTGTACATTGATCTTGAAAGGCGAATCTAATCAACATATGTTTTTATACCTTTTTAGCAGGCACCTCTCACATTTACCCAACAATTACAACGACAAACCAAGCTTAGCTCACGCAATAATCCATTTATGCAAAATGCTCCAATTGTTAATTCCAAGCACAGCAATTCAGCTTCATCATCATCGTTGGGTCACAAAGCCGGTGGAGGTGGTGGCGGTGGTCATCATCGTCATTCCCAAATATTACCCGATCTCAGTGAACATCAAATGGGTAAGTGGCGGAAAGCAATTTTACATTTGACTTTTTTAACTTGCGTCACTATTTTTTTTATGATTTCAGCTACCCACATGGCCAGCAATGAGGCTGATCTGTACGACATGGAGTGTATGTCGCCGTTGTATGCAACACCACCCCATTCGCCAAGCAGCGAACTAAGTTCACCGGGACAATTGCCTTCGATCAATAACATTGATGATTGTGCTGGCGGTGCATCTGCATTGAATGGCGGCTGCGGCAATGGACCGAGCAGCAGCAGCTCTGGTGGTAAATCTGTTTTGCCAGACAATCATTTTGCCCGTGATACCCATATGCGTATCATATTGGGAAATTTAAAAGAAAATCAAGCCAGTTCGTCTAGGTGAGTTGAAAATCGAATAATTTTTAGTTAGTTGTAAGGGATATGTGTGGCATTTAGGGAATTGTTAAGGAAATTATACCATTTTCAACTACTACTATTGGTGTATTTCGGCTGTTTGAAATTATCTAGATATAACAATTATCTTTCATGGCATTAATTCTTGGCACCAGAGAGGTGCACTGAAATGAATTTCGAAACCATTTTGTGTCGGCCAAACTAGCAATAATTAACTTTTCTATTTAAGATTTATAACAAATGTCAGAAAAAATACCAAATCGGTATAAATCGACAAAATAACGTAGCCAAATAGTCTGTCGATTTCATCCTGCAACGGCGATAAGCAAAACAATTAATCTTGTTGTTTTGTTCTCATTTTAGAATTGAACTTTTCCCACAATAGCTACATAAGAGATTTTGGGGAAAAAAGTCTCTACATCCAATGTATACACATGTTTTCATATTGCCTTAGGAAAGTGATATGACTGCGTTAAAACTAGTTGGTTGCACACTTGAAGTTTCTGGTCAAATTCCGGCCGTTTGGTTTTAGTCAGAGTTGCGAAATGCAAATTCGTGTTGAGCAAAATTAAACTGGCTCGATCAATTAGGAGTACTCCTGCAATTTAAAAAAAAAGAAATACTCTATTTTTCATTACATTTTTTTAATTTTATTTAATAAAAGTAAAAAATGTAGGAAATAACATCAAAGTTTAGATTTGTTTAAGTTGGTCACCTTTGACACGAATTATGGCCTCCACTTCCTTGACGTCCGGCTACGCTGCCAGTATCACGGTAACGATCGATGGTACGAGATACAAAAGATTTATTCACATTTAAATGCTTGCCTTAGGAAAGTGATATGATTGCGTTAAAACAAACTTCTAGTTAGTTGCACACTTGAAGTTTCTGGTCAAATTCCGGCCGTTTGGTTTCAGTCAGAGTCGCGAAATGCAAATTCAAGTTGAGCAAAATTAAACTGGCTCGATCAATTAGGAGTACTCTTGCGAATTAAAAAAAAGAAATCGAGTATACTCTATTTTTCATTACATTTTTATACCCTACAACACTATGTGTTGGGGGTATTATAAGTTTGATTGGGCCAGAATTTATGTAACACCTCGAAATATTGGTTTCCCATATAGGAAAGTATATATGGATCTTCCTAGCTCGCCGAGCTGAGTCGATCTAGCTATGTATGTCCGTCCGTCCGTCTGTCCGTCTGTCCATGTTAATTTATAATCACTCTACAGGTCGCAATTATGGCCCGATCTTCACGAAATTTAGAATGGAGGTGGAGCTTAGGTCAGAATAGAACCCTATTTCTTTTGGAGATGATCGCATAATATTTAGGGGTTGAAATGGACCAAATACTGAAAAAATGTCGGATTTTGCAGTAGCTATACAGGACGCAATTATAGACCAATCGACGCGGAATTTCGCATGTAGCTAGAGTTTAGGGCGGGGAAGAAGCCTACCAAATTGGGTGGTCATCGGATAATATTTTGCGGGTAAAATAGACCATATTTTTGTGTTGAAAAAATTCAAAATTTTTCATTAAACCGCGAATATTTTAAATACCGGCGAAATCACAAAGCCATGACCTTTACATTGATGTTAACATCCAACAAATCGGATATATAGCGAAATATGTGCGATATATATGTCTATCAAAGAAGATATGCTTGAAAGATCTCTTATATGTCGAGAACGGCTGAACTGATTTCGACAGTTCTCATTAATTCAGAATGGCCTCTTGGCAGGAAAGAAAAAACGTTTAAAAAAATCGCATAAAAATATCTCTCTAATGATGAAAATATTGATTTTGTAAAATTTTCTCATATTTTTTCAGTTTTGTCATATTTTTGGCATATTTTCATTTTGAATTAAACATTTGGTAATATTTCTACAGCTAACAAAACTAAGTAATTAGGATATCAGGATATCATATACAGATCGCATTTATGGGCCGATCCTTACGAAATTTTGCATGGGGATAAGATGGGGGTCAGAATAGAAGCCTACTCTTTTTGGAGATGATCGCCATATATTTATATAAAAACTGCAAAATTGTCAGCAGGTCGTAATTATTAACCGATCCTTACGCACATTTGAATGGGGGTTACCGGACATTGCAAAAGCCAAGCAGTTTCGGATGGCCATCCAAAAATATTCAATGTAGGAAATAGTTTGCCAACTTTTGTAGACTAAATACGAAAATGTCCATTCCAGTGACTTTTTGGAGAATTCACAATTACAGGAAAGACGCACTTCTGACTATTTCGTTAAGGCTGATTTCGTTGAAGAATATAGTCAAATGGCTGTATCTCATATAGATGCGTTTCAGTCAAAAAACAATAATAAATGTTAATCTTTTGCCACTTCTGAGAGATTATAGGTCTTTGGGAAATATTGGTTCCAGATCTAGGAAGACCATTTAAATTAGTTTAAGTTGCTATTATTCGAAAATTAGAGAACGAAACCTGATGGTTTTCTTTTATTATTTGTCACAATATCTTGTGGAATTCTTTCGAGTATCTCGTTGTATCGTTTATTATAGTGTTGTAGGGTATTCAACGGTCGGCCCCGCTCGACTGTAGCCTTTGCTTACTTGTTTTTTTTTAAATTTTATTGAATAAAAGCAAAAAATGTCGGAAATAACATCAAATTTTAGAATAAGTTTAGATTTGTTAAAGTTGGTCACCTTTGACACGAATTATGGCCTCCACTTCCTTGACGTCCGGCTACGCTACCAGTATCACGGTATCGAGCGATGGTACGAGATACAAAAGATTTATTCACATTTAAATGCTGGAGTGCTCTGGAGTTGGAAACTTGTGGTTTTCCAGCCAAATATAAAGAAATCACACTATCACGCTTGAATTCCATCACGAATAACTTTTTTCTGGAAAATTCTCACCAAAATGCTTTTGTACGCTTGTAAACAATATAATGAGCTGACACTGAAATAATTTAACAGCTGTCAGACGAGTGGCTTTGAAATGACAGGAGTCTGATGTTGGTTGCAGTTTTTTCATCTCACCCTGTATTTGTTCAACAGGGTTTAATTATCAAAATTATCATTCCAAGCGCTCTCGGGACTTGAGGACTGTCTAAAATTTATTTGATTTCATTGTATATATTGTGTCGCATTAATTTTTAACAAATAAAACATTTTTTAATTTATATTACAGCAAAAGTAAACGCAGTGGTATCACAACAAACCCCGCAATGCGTCTCATACGTAGCCGTTTCGATTCGGCAGCCCAGCTAATACGGAGAACCAACAATATACTATCGAGCAATAGCCAAGGATCCTCAAGTATTGGTGTTAAATCGGGAACTTTCCAATGGCGTAAAGAAAGTCAAATGTAAATGTTCACAAACAGAACAAGAACAACAACATCGTTAAAAATAAATAAATTGAAATAGAAACCTTTTCCGTTTGTTGATATTTTTACTATTTGTTTATTATTCTCTTTTAAGTATTTGATTTGTGATAGTTTAACGAATAAGTTATAGCGATATTTATTTAATACATATTTTATTATCAACAAGGTGTCCGTGAAAATTAAAAACTCCCACTTTCTTAACATTAAGCGAAACTAAATTACATGTAGATGAAAATTTAGAAACAAAGACATAAATAAAAATTAATAAAAAATCGAAAAATAAATATAAAATTACGAAACAACTGTAATCAGACAATTTCGAACATAAAAATTAGTAATGATGAAAAAATAAATTTATGATATATATAGATACCTTACATGAAATTAGTAATAACCCTGACCCAAACAAAACACACAATTCCAATGCAAAAATCCGACATGCAGTGAGGGTTTATAGAATATAGAATTCATTACAAAACATCAGGGGTTCTCTAAATCAAACAAAAAAATATTTAAATTGAATAAAAATATGTTTGTATGTTTTTTTGAAACTAAAATGTTTTCGAGATGTTTATATCTGCATTTTATTCATATTTTTGGAAACAAGTTGCGTGAACTGTGTAAAAGATCTTGTAATAAATACTCTATGTATATTCATCGCACTGCATTTAATATAAAACATATAATTACTTACATACACATATTGCAAATTTTACAAAATAAAACATTAAGCAATATTTGCCATTATTTACAATACATATATTATAAATTTAAGTTAACATATTATATTAATTTGGAAATAATTTAGTAGACATTTTAATTATTTAAATAATTTTCATAATCTCCAGATACATATATTTATTAGAAAATACTGATATATTGAGGAAAAAAACCATTAATGAAACGAAATAAAACAAAACAAACCAGCAAAACAATGATGTTATTCATACATATTAATGAAAAAGAGCAACCACAAGTAACACATTAAATATACATATATTGTTTTTAGTTTAACGAAAAAACAAATGTACTGACACTAATTATAATTAGTTTACACAATGAAACAAATAAAAAAAAATAAAATTTATTTAATTATAAATACAACAAGAAAATAAAATACACGAAGTCAAAATGCGAATGCGTGCATAATACCATACATATATACTTAAATAATTTAGTCATTAAACAAAACGAAAAAACACCCTTAAATAAATTATTTTCAAACTAAAAACACCCTGTTTATTATCTTCATACAAACAAACTTTTGTTGTTTTTGTTAATCTTTTTTCTCCTTTTTTTATTAAAAAAGAAGAGTGGCAGGGTCGAACTTCGTAGAAGGAAATAAATTTATATCGATAATTTTAAAGTAACAAATAGATCAAACTGACGACCGACCCGGTCACATTAAAATTAAACTACTTAAGGCTAACGTCAGGCGAACCATAAGCAAATTTCCATGCACCAACGCAATGTTTATAAACATATGTAAAGTGTGCTTAAACCTAGGTAACTACACTTTTTCCAGATGTAATTCGGAACATTTTAATTTTTTATTCCTTTGGAAATTTGTAATATTTAAATTGTAATTTCAGATTTCGTTATTCGTATGATTTCTATTTTTTGTTTGCAGCACTCCATGGTATAATTATTACATGTAACAGCAAGTCCCATCTGATTTGACTCTATAGTAATACTAGTGTCAAACTCGATATTACGTTTTGTCATTTAATTCCATTTCTTGATATACAATAGGTATACCCTTTTTTGATATGAAATTTCACTGCAGGGCAATATGAACATAGTTTTTGCCTAATAATAGAAAAAAATCGTCGTTATACTTAATAAAACGCCAAAGGCGATGGTTCGTTTTTTTCGGTTAAGGAACAGCGACACCACGTTCGATAATATATTCGTATATTTCATGTTTCCAAAAATTATGTATGCTGTTTAGTTTCAACTTGAAAGAGATTTTGCCTTTTCCACGATTTTCTGACGATTGCTCGAAGTATTGAGAGATTAGGACCAATAGCTAACATCTATACATTCAGAGGAATGATGTGAACGCATTAAAATTTGAAAATTATTGAATTTTTGAAAATTATTTACTGAAAATTAATTATTTTGTTTACATTTTTGGGCACATAACTCTGACACTTGTATTACGTACAACAACAAATTTGTATGTGGTTGTTGTTACGATTGTTGTACTTCAACACTTGCTGTTACCTGTATTTTTCTACCATGGTAGCACTCCATTTAATTTCAAATTATTTCGTTTGAAATTCGAATTCCGAATTGAATAATTAGAATAAAAAATCGAATTACAAATGAAAAGTTTGGAATTTCAAATGGAAATGAAATTCTCAAATTACAATTGAAATATTCAAATTACAAATGGAATTCTCGAAGGTAATTCAAATATTCTCATAAAGAAAAAAGACTACACATTTTAGGCTAAATGATAATTTAAAAGGATTGTTTTTTTTTAAATTTTTTGTTACCGTGTTTTATGGACGATTAAAAAAGAACGGCAACTCAACAAAATATTAAACATAACAAGTAAGGAAAGAAAGTAGGACATTGCCGACTTTATGATACCCAACATCACTATGAATATTTAGTAGTCATCTGTAAGAAATAAAATTAAATGAAATTTAAATCACAAAGGAGTTTCTAGCATGTATCTGATATCTTGTGCAGAGAATCTTTATCGTGGATAGTGTATTACAGTTAAGTATGTCAAAATGATTTTTATTTGGGTCAATATTACACATTCGGTGAAAAATATACACAGATGAAAAAAATAAAAAATGTAAGATACAAAATTTTAAGCGCAATCGAACAATAAAATCGACCTGTAATTTGGGTAAAAGTATGTTGACAGTCGGACGAAAGTATAAATCGAGTCAGAATCTGCTTCTACGAAGATCATCAAAAGGAACAATGGGTTTATCTCGTTTCTTTTTGCATGTTCCAAACAAATGCCCAAAAGTATTAATACCTTGTAGCACAGTGTGGTATCGGGTATACCATTACAGTCAAACGCGCTACCCTCAGCCAAAGATTTAAACTCTTAAATGAGAGGAATTCAGAAACCAGAAAAAGAAGAACTATACAGAAACAGAAAGTTTCCCTTTTAAATTTTACGGACCTGATTAATTTCTACATTTATGTTAATATCGACACATTGCGTACATCAGATACCTTCAATAAGATTGGAAGTGGGAACAGTCTCTTGCCTCTTGTCATCTTGGAGGTGAGCTCTGTAACACCATTGTAATCTGCCAACACAAGTGCTGCACAATTCAGAAATATACATCTTCATGGGAAGTCAAAGGTCTTATTAATGCATCATCACAAAAATATTTACAAACACCCTAAAATTTCCTGCTTAAAGAAACTCTATTATAGTGAGAAGGAAGGGTCTATATAACAGAGGATCTATCATATAGGACTGAATAGCATTTACACTAATCCACCATCACCTGCCATCCATCGATTGGCTGGAATTATTGATGGATGGGTAGATGTCCTGATCTTAGTAAATCAATAATTGATCAGAGTAAGAGCAATGATATAGGAAACGTTTTTTCATATCTATTGAAGTTTATGCAATACAAATACATTTTGGGTGACGCTCAACGAAAAAATGTCGGAAATTAGTCGGACGAAAAAACACAATGACAGCTTTCAAGTGCTCCAAACACATGTAATTTGGGCCAGATCAGCGTCTAGGTGCCGTTCCGTTATCAATTATATTACAACACCCAGGATTGGCCGATTAGCACATATCCAGATCGTTTCTGCATTTCAAAACTGCCATAGTTCTCCAATGCTTTTAGAGACTATCAACGTAGAAAGTCACCTGATTTTCATGGAATATGATTCTATAAGACGAAAGGGCACCGTCATTACAATCATTGTTGAGCTTCAATGGTTATGGGTATATTATTAAAAATATTGAGTACTCCTAATTGTACATTGGATCAACAGCGTTTTGAACTCCACTCTTGTACCAGTAAGCCTATCTGACGTCTAAGTTTCCAGTCAAAAGATTTATTGTGACTTGAAATTTAAAGAGAGTCAAATAAACACATTGCAAAATGCAGTACGTTTATTGTCAAATTGATGTCAAAATTAGTCTTCCTGTTGGACCATATTTGGTATAAGTATACTTCATTGTACATTGTTGCTTCCAAACAATTACATTCTTTTCCAAAACAGTCAGGAAAATATTTTTAAATGACTAACAAAACTACAACTAAGATACTAATCTTGATTTTATTAGAAATTTAAAAAGATTAAAAATTAGTTTTTATGCATTCTTAATAGGTAGTATGGTATATCCAAATTTTCTGTTGACATTTCTTTTTTGGCTTACAATACAACATAGTCAGGTCACATTAAAATGTTTATTAGCCACTTCGCTTGTAAAACTGCAGAACACATACTGACAACTCTCAAAGTATTTATATTATTTTCGACCAATATTACAACAAACTAAGGTATAAAATACTCATACAATTTAAACAGACAAAATTATATTTTGTGAAGCACTTTTATATGATAAAGATATGATTTTTCTTTTATAAGAACCATCCAACAGACTCATTATTAATACCAAACATAATAGAATTATTTTATAGAATATTTCTTCTTATTCTATAGCATGAACAAAACAAATATATATTTATGTGGATAACTGAACACACAAACAAATCTCAAATAAAAATTTAAAAAAATACGTAAAGAGATGAGTGAAATTTATCACATCATTTCTGTTCCAAAAAGTAGATTGAAATTAAAAAAATGTGTAAATTGAATATTATTATTGTTAAAAACTACAACAATTAAAGATATATATTGAAATTTAATTATGTTTACCTGTGAATCAGTGACAACACGAAAATAAAGTTAAATAAATTTGGTATTATTCATTGAATAGTAACGTATGTATATTTAACAGCAAAAGAACAGAGCATAATTTAATTGTATTCATTAATTATAAAAAAATAACTACATATAATGAACGAATGAAATTTACAGGAATTTTTGATTGTGAATGTGTTGAAAAGTGTTTACTTCTTTTTGAAGGATTAAACATAATATTTGATGACAAAAGCAAGATGCTATAAAAACCTAAACGAAATATAAACACCCATATATATATAAACATTTTCGAGTTTAAATAAACGAACATTAAAAATTACAATTTTCTTGATTTATTTGGAATTATCAACTAGTATTTTAGGATTCGCCACGCGAAATACATTGGGAACCATACTTGCTAATGTGTTGAATAGCTCTTCGGATATATCGTGAGGCAATAACAACTGGAGGGTGCTGAAAAAAGGAATTGTTAACCATGAGTAGTTTTTATTAACAAGTAATATTTTGCGTCTGGTTTTGATGCTAATTTAAAAAAACAGCAAAAAGTTGTGGGGCATTTCATATTTTGGGATAAACCAAAGACTTTAAAAATACAGTCACAAAAATTAAAACAAAACAATGTTGCCGCATTTTTTCAAGAGGTTGCAGACAACAGGTGCGCTGCATAACTTCAATCCACAGTTTTGTGTATTGGATTCACTCGGATGAGCATAATCACTTCTGAGGTAGCCTTCGATGGAGAAAACCCACAGATAATAACCGTTATATACTAGGTGACAGTAGCGATGCTGCTGATACTTAAAATACATTCGCAGTCTTATAAGAACAAATAAACCACAATTAGGGTGAATTGTGAGAGCAAGATGTTCCATATGGTTTAATATCTGTGGTTTTTTCTCCCCTTTTCTTCTCCACACTTTTGAGGCAACTTTACCGAATACACGGAAACATTGTTTTTTATCTTGGTACCAGCGTTCTAAAGTAAACAGTACACAAACATAGTGTACTGTACCGGTACAGTATCCCTAAAAATAATTTTAGCGGTAGTATACCGGTACACTACCACTAAAAAATATTTTAGTGATACCGGAACACAATGATGATCGTAGTGTACCACAGTCGGAGCGCTCAAAAACCGTAGTGTACCGCAATCGGAACACTATAAAATCGTAGTGTTCCGGAGTTGCACCACTAAAAAACGTAGTCTTCCGCAATCGGAGCATTAAAAAATCGTAGTGTACCACATGCACCACATTAAAAAAATCGAAATCATAAAACTGATTTAAAACACTCAGCCATACTTTGCAAAATATTTTGTTTTTACACCTATATTCATTGATTTTTCGGTACCATAAAATAACAGGTAAATTATTTTCATAATAACCCATTACAACGCAACCACTAAAATAAACTTTTTCGCGGAAAATTAAAATTATCAATGTACAAATTAAACAAAATCTAGCAAATCATAAAAGATAAATATGTGGTACACTACCGGTACATTATTTTTTTAATGTACCGCCATGTGATACACAACGATTTTGTAGTGCTCCGACTGCGGAACACTACGATTTCGTAGTGCTACGACTGCGGCACACTACGTTTTTCAGTGCTCCGACTGCGGTACAGTACGATTCTCGTTGTGCTCCGGTACAGTATCACTAAAATATTTTTTATGGGTTGTGCTCCGGTACGGGACATTATCTTAGTGTAACACTCCACCTCGGAACGGTACAGAGCACTACGGTACAATACCATACTGTTTATTTTCGAACGCTGCTTGCTACAAGGCCCAAAAGTGTAGGAAGGCGATTTCAATATGGATTTTGGTGTCGTTTTAGATATTTTTCGCAGAACTAAACATACCAGCTGCAGCTTAACTCGCCGAGCCTACAGCGTTTTCTACGCCAAAGTACCAAAAGCTATATGTATATTTGTAAATCAAATAAGAAAAACTGATTTAATTAGGGAATCTAGAGAATGTGATTCTCCCCAAAAACTAATAAAACAGGATGCTTTCATGCAAAGATTTCCCTCAGTCTTAGTCGTTAAATAAAAATAAAATGTCAAGATATATCATATCACGTGGCCACCGAGCAACGTCCCTAATCAACCTATTAACTGTCAGTAGATTTAACGCTGTATGTCGCCGAATTGATAGAAATGGGTCTAAGTGACCTTAAAAATTTTCTTAAAATATCCGAAGGCTAAAAAAATTCCTTCCTTTATGCTATAGTGAGTATTTATAGCTAAAGGTCTATCAAAAAATGCATCGGCTTTCAGCTACTGATACCCCCCAACACCCAAAAAAAATGTGTACTAAATACGCTGTAGTTTAAGATATGTTTACTATCATATGCATATGATTACTTACCTCAGTTCAGCGCCACCCCAAGATGCCGATTCTATCATAAAACCCTTAGCACATTTAAATACCAATTCAGCACGACGCATGCACCATTGCACCGTCATATCTTCAGACATTTCATGTCGCAATAAAGCCGGTATTGTTAGAGTTGTAACATCATGGCGACTTGCTGTCTTGAGGATGTTGCGTAAACCCAATATCACAGGATGTCTTGAGTTAATTTCACTTGGAGAATTTATTGGTTCATCTGAGATTAAGTGGAAGATAACATGCGACTGCGATAGATTGGAATGTTTAGTAATGAAAAAGTCGCCAGTTTTTAATTTTGCACTAGTCTTAACGGGTGAGTTACTAGCACTACTTTGAACCGATGGATTTATGACACCAGAGACGATGACATCTTTCTCACCACCCTCTGTACTGCCAATACTAACATCAGTACTAACTGTACTTAAACTTTTAGTACTGGGAGTAGATGAAGAGTTGAGGAGATTCAATTGGCGAATTTGCTGTTCAATTTTTTCAAGTTGGTCATCAATCTAAAAAAATAAAATAAGTTTTAGTTTTTTAATTATTTTTAAGAAAGTTATTGATTTTCCATATTACCTGATTAAAATGAAATTCTGTTGACATATTAGCATTTTTAATTATGTCTTTATTAGCTTGTGCCTGCACTGATGGCGTTAAAACAACAACGCCGCATAGGGAACTAGAGTAGAGACCCAAAGCCATATTGAGGCCATTTAAACTGAAATGGATTAGTTAATATTTTAATTTAAATAAAATTGATAGTGTAACCTGCATCGTAAACAAGCAGGAAATGCGTATATATTCAAATAATATATATTCATATTCAATAAATAGTTTTTTTCCTGTTGAAGCTTCAATACATACGAGAAATACATCTGAACATTAACAGATCTTATAAAGAATATAAATCAAAAAGGGTTAATTCATTTGAATTTATTTTCATAATCCTGCACATTAGCCACAATAGTTATAATCAATGTCCCTATTTACTGGTCAATTTACCTTTCATCTGCATGCAATGGACTGCACAAATCATTGACGTTAGCACTCAATATACGAATATTATGCATATGCTTCAGTTGGGATCCCAAATGTATGGTAAAACTTTCCTCCATTGATGGTTGTTGGGAAATGAACATAGACGAACGATTGCCCAGTGGCGTTGAAACTGGACTGGATTGAAATAATTCACTAACTTGACTTGTAATCCACTGACGATATTCATTCTTTTGATGCCCAATTTTCGCCTCCAATTCTGATTCATAGCGTTTACGAACAAAATTCTGTGTAGAATATTGTTGGGCCAATAGATTGTTTATGTCCTCCGGCGTGGTGGTTATATCTAGCTGATTAATTTTCGATTCCATTTCTTCTTGTTGTGAATTGTTCAGCGTTTCAACCTCTTTATCCATTTCTTTGGTAATACTTGCAATAACTTTAGCATATGCTCGCTCTTTCTTCAGGATCTCTTCCAGTTGGGAAGAGTGTACCAGACGATGAAAACTTTGGGCAAATATATCTTCATCTGTTGGCCCAATACGGTCTGCAAATTGTATGAGCTCCTCCTTGTAGTGACGTTCGGTATCCCGTATGATTTCCTCAACATCGATGTCATTATTTCGAACCTTTTCCAGTAGCTCATCAGCATATTCATCCCGAAATTTTTGGTTTTCAACATCAATAAACTCCTTCAGACCGCGTTTAATGGCTTTAATTTTGATTGTGCAAAATTATTTACTTAAAAAAAGTTATTTAAATGATTAAAAAAATTATTTATACTAACCAGCATTTTCGTCCAAGAACCTCATCATCGGATCCATTTTGGACAAGACCTGAGTCACCAATTCATCCAAACAATCATCGTATGGTATACGAATATCTAACGACACATTCTTGCAAGAACCTTCTTGGTCCTTGTAATTATAAATGAATGGCTTGGTTGTCGACTTTCCAATATCCAACATATTTTTCAATACGCCCCCAAAAAATTGAGCGATGTCTGTCCGTCTAGTTCAAAAGAACTGCAGCGTGAAAGGAACAACCAGAACTATCCTTTAGTTTACATTGAACTTTCAGTAAATCTTCTTCTTTCGCCTGCTTTGAGATTTCTCCCTTTTGTCATTTTTAGTAAATAAAAGAAAAAATGTTTCTATTGGCATGAAGTAAAAAAATAAATATTTCCAAATTACAAATGCCAATGAATATAAAGTTTTATTGTTTATAATTGAATAATATTTATTATTGATATGAACTCCACAACCGAAACGGACGATTGAACTCGATGGAACTGAACTAAAACGATCCGTTTTGAGAACTAGATTGTTCAACTAATGGTAAAAGAATTCAGGTAGATCCATCAAACTTGTTAAAAAGTTTTGTAAAAACTAAGTAGATTTTTTAATATTTTCTTATACGACGCCAGTCGCTAATTTTTCATTCAATTTTTCAATCCCAAATTTGGTTTGACAGTTCATTGTCACAGCAGCTGTGTCGATGCGGTAGAAGAATACAGGCTGCCGCATCGACGCAGCTGCTGGGGACTACCAAACCAATTGTGGAATTGACATTTTTGAATGAAAAATTATTCAAATTTTTTAATTTTTTTAATGCATATCATTACAACCTCCAATTGGCGTCTTATAGGAAAACATATACAAATCTACTTATTTTTGAAGAAACATTTAAAAAGATTTGACATATCAATGTTCCCAAGTGTTGATGCATCTACCTGTATTCCTCAAACATGGACTACCTGCTTTTACCACGATTTTCTAGCATTTGCGTGAGGTGTTTAGAGATTTGGACCAACTTTGGAACAACTTTACATACAGGGGTATGATATGAAAACGTTAAAATCAAATATTTTAAGAGCTATTCTTCTGCATTTTAAATTTAATAATCCAAATTAAAATTGAAATTTTTTAAATAAAAATAGTTTATTGAAAATTAATTGTTTTGTTTACATTTTTGGAAATATTACTCTGGCACTTGTATTACATAAAAAACAACAACACTTGCTGTTACCTGAATTAATCTACCGTATTGTACATGGTACTGTACCGTAGTGTTCTGCTCCGTTCCGAGGTGAAGTGGTACACTAAGATAATGTAGCGTACCGGAGCACAACCCTTAAAAAATATTTTAGTGATACTGTACCGGAGCATAACGAGAATCGTACTGTACCGTAGTCGGAGCACTAAAACGTAGAGTACTGCAGTCGTATACTACGAAATCGTAGTGTTCCGCAGTCGGAGCACTACAAAATCGTTGTGTAAAATAATGTACCGGTAGCATGGTAGAAGAATATAGGTAGACGCGTCCACACAGCTGCTGGTACAATGAACTGTCAAACAACTTTTGAAATTGAAAATGTTGAATGAAAAATTATTTAAATTTGTTAAAATTGTCGAAAAACGCGAATTATTATATCCTCCGAATGACGTAGTATAAGAAAACATATAAAAATCTACTTTTATTTGAAAAAACATTTAAATTTTTCTGACATATCAACCGCCATGACCGGTAGTGTACCACATACGTGTCGTTTACGATTTGTGAGAAAAATTAGATGTTTGATGTTTTTTTGATAATACAAAAACTACTTATACAATTCAATATTATGAAAATAAAAGCTGAATTTATTTTATTTGCCATGTGTGTTTAGATTGGTTGCGAAATTGAAGAAAGTAGAAAAATATAGAAATAGGTAGAAAGAATAAAAAAGGAGCAAATCTGAAGTGATAATAATTTGTATTTAACCGTTGAAAATTTAAATGTTTAATTTTCTACGAAAATAATTTACCTGTTATTTTGTGGTACCGAAAAAATCAATGAATGTAGGCGTAAAAAACTAAATATCTTACAAAGTATGGCTGAGTGTTTTAAATCAGTTTTATGATTTCGATTTTTTAATGTGGTGCATGTGGTACACTACGATTTTTTAATGCTCCGATTGCGAAACACTACGGTACAATACGATTTTTAGCGCTCCGACTGTGGTACACTACGATCATCGTTGTGTTACGGTACAGTATCACTAAAATATTTTTTAGTGGTAGTGTACCGGTCATGATAGAAGAATATAGGTAGATGCATCAACGCTTGGGAACATGTATTTTTCTACGACGGTGCCGGTACACTGCCGCTAAATTTTTTTAATGATACTGTACCGGTACAGTACACTATGTGAACTGTTTTTTTTTTTCGATAGCTGATGTATTGTTTTAAACAAGGTGTATTAAATGTTGTAAGGTGTTAAATGTAAATGGACCATGACGGTCCACATTTTTGTATAGCCCCCATGTAACGGCATCTCTCGATATTCGGTATTTTCATGATTTTAGCAACATTATTTACCGAAATTATTTAAAATTTCTTACAACCTATGACAAAAATTGTTGTATGCAGGTCCATGTCTACCTCCCGATACTCGATACCGGAATTGTAACATATTTCGTATTTAAATATCGTACTGGATACTACAGCCTATGACAAAAAATTTGTATGTAGGTTTATGTTTTCGTATATCCCTCATATAACAGTACATCTCGATATTCGGTATTTTGATGATTTTAGCGGCATTATTCACCGGAATTGTTTCAAATTTGGTATTTGAAGTTCGTAATAGGTACTACAGCCTATGACCAAAACTTTCGTAAGCAGGGCCACGTGTTCGTATAGTCTCCATATAACAGTTTTCATTTAAGTGGTACTTTTTTTTAAATTTTGTTCACCAAATGGTGGAGGGTATTAAAAGTTCGGCCGGGCGAACTTAGCTGCTTTTTTATTTGTTCATGTTTGTTTGTGAGTAAATTTGGGGTTTGAGAGTAAACTTTTTTTTTATCACAAAATTGTGCAATTTGTTACACATTTAATTTATTTTGCAACCAAATTTGAAATAATTTCAAATTATTGTATTTTTTATTCAAAACAATACACACATATACACAAAATGTGTTTATGTTTTGACAGAATAAGGACACAAAAAGAAAAAAATTGTATTTAGGGAGTACCTTCTGTAATTATGCCATGGAGATACCGTTTTTGGCGGTAATATGATCTAAGTTAAAATCGGGCTAAAGGCTATTTCTTCGCATTGATGTCAAAAGATAATGGCTGAGTATTGCTACTGCCGATGCCGCCAGTCGGAACTTAAGGACTTTTTGCCTGATGTCGCTGCTGTTGTGTTCACAGCAGCCTGTTTTCATAGAAAGGGGAAATTACCAGAAAGAAGAACCAACATATCACATATTCATTGGAGACGTAAAGTTGGTAGAAAATATTGAATGCTCGAAGTTTGAAGAATATCGAACATTGATTTCACACCTTCCCAGAGATATTATTCAAAATGGTGACCATTCGTGAGGAAGATACGCTGACGAGTGGGCCAATAATGTCCACAGTCGCACAGTCGTGGAAAGTTTGAACTACTTCGGGCATTTTTATTTAGCAACGTTTTGAATGTTAATTTTTTTTTGAAGGAGGGAGATAGCAGAAGAAGTAAACAATAATGGCCACCTCCCAACTTCATCTAATTTTGACATAAATATTACGATGTTCCAAATCGTACTCTTTTTTCTCGAGAGCTATCGTGTGTAGATCGACTCTAAATGTTCATGTGTGGTACAATAAAATCAAGATAGGACTACGATACCCATGGTAAAATTAATGAAGTCAAGTCATTTCAATTAATAATTATACCCATCTCTGCATTTTCCGTAAATTATCTTGTCAAATTTCACTGAATACAATAAAATGTTACCATCTTCGATTTGTGTATATACAATGGATTTAAAAATATGCATTTTGACAATGAGATGTTGTCAAATTAATAATTTTGAAAAAATTGCAAACATATTAGAGCACGATACCATATGATTTTAATTTTTTATTTTCTTGGCTAAATAAAAAATGGATAACTCAAAAACGTTAATTTTATATTGAAGAACTTAATTGAAGTTTTATTTTATAATTGTAGAAGGTTTAAAAGTATATTTGACACTATAAAACTCGGGCGCAGAGTTGCATTTTCCTAGTATATTTGAAGTTCTTCAACCTTTCTTATTGTACCGTGGATGCCACTGTGAAAATAAATGCAATGACTACCAGTTTCACCTCTGAAAAAATGAATTTATTCTAAAGAAAGGTGTAATAGATGGTAATGCGAAAATATAGAACCATTTTCAGCTAGTTATTCTGGTTTTGTAATCTATAAAGACAGACATTTTATTTTAATGAAATGTCATTCCTTGACATCACAAGAACAACAGCACCGATAAAGATTCATTTAAAATGAATGGTATAAAATCTCAATTTAATAGATTTATGCCCAAAAAAAGATAAATAAAATGTTTCTCCCTGTTTTTAGGTGCCAAAGAAGACGGAAATAATACATTTGTGAGTTATCGTTACTATTATTTTTTCATAAAACAACAAATCGCGCAAAATTAATGAGGGCCTAGCAACATTTCACTACGTAGAAACAGGTTCTCATCTTTTTGTATGTATAATGGATTTATAAATACAAATTTTGACAATGAGATGATGTCAAATGAATAATTTTTGAAAAAATTTAAGAAATGTAGAATAGAATTTTAATTTAAGAATAGAATTTTGGGGCTGGATTCTTGTCTTTTGAAAATATGAAACGAACATTTTTTTCTTATAAAACGTTTATTTGACATTTCTTTCCTTTATAAAAGAATTCATTATTTTTCCGCTGTTCCAGAACTTTTTTCTGCGACAGCGGCCTTTTTCCTCTATAACATTGAAAAAAATTGCAAAAATGACAGTTTGTACCGCCAGTTGTATTGTTGCGGCTACCTGCATTACCATATAACTGTTACATTAAGGTAGCAGCAAAAGCAAGCTGGTTTGATTGTACTATTTGTAACAGGAAACAAAACAATTGGTTATCGTAGGAACTTGTTTTTATTTTAGTACAAGCTTTCAGCTTTCTACTAAATTTAATGTCAAAATACATTATTGTGATTGAAATCATAAAACGAAAAATAAACTTGTTAAAAATTAGCATAGATGGAAATACATAAGGCGCTTTTTTGGCTGGCTTATGTCATCGGCTGGCTTCTTCGTAGAGGAACAAAGGAGTTTTAGGTTGACTTTGTTTGATTTTGGCCCTAGGCTCCATTGTTCATTTCCGAAGAAGCCTGCCGATGACTTAAGCCAGCCAAATGAGCGCTTTATGTGTTCCCAAAAATACAGAATGTAGCCGTGATATTGGGGTCTATGTGAAAACGTGGACCTGTATA